GCAGGGTGGGTGGGTATTACTTCAACTATTAACATGAATGCCATGTCTATTTTGCATGGCATCTTTGTTTGTTTGATTGATTTTTTTATGTCTACAGCAAAGAATAATTTTATGAACGACAATAATGACAATATTATTTATATCAGGTTTCATATCAAATTTGATGCAAAGCATATTTTAAGCATCTGATATATCTGTTACAGTTGTAACACTTGATGACAATTCTTAGATCTTTTTTTCCATTATTTTAAATACTAATATTTTTGGAGCTTTGATTATGTGGATGTGTTTATACCACCGGAACGGATTTTTTCCTATGATACTGGCGACAATAAATGCTGGGTATTTTGTATCATTAGATATTTAGAAACCACTACATAGAGACTGCTGAGCCAATAACTAAAGAGAATAATTGTATAAAATTCCCTCAAATCTTCAAAATGTTAGGTAGAAAAATTTCAGACAATAATTTTACTGAAATAACTAATTCTTCAGGAAAGAGGACATTTCAAATTGATGGTTAACTAGAGCTACTAATTTTTAATCTTGTTCACTGCATATCATCAACTTCCAAACCCTAACAGCTTGGAACATGCCATACATGTACTTTGAATGCAAAACTTGGGCATTCCATCATATATATCTGAGGAATCTTCGACTTCTAAATTCAGGCTCATTTCAAACTGAAAAGCGATATAGTTTAGTAGAATATAGAACTATGCTTTTATAGGCAGTACATTATTTCTCATGGACCATTTCATAAAGAAATTTAAAAATTGCTAGATCAAAATGATACAAGGATCATTTCATACAAGCAGTTATAGAGCCCGCATTACATCTACCCGTGTGAGGTAAACATTTTTCTTGAAGAAATTTACTGTCCTTCACAAAGTTAACAAGACCACAACCAGATTTCCTTCAGCTTGCCCAGTCTATGAAACTCCTATTAGCATAAGCATAGAATAGCCTCATGCTCAACCCAGATAGGTAATAGAACAAACATTATCATTTTGTACATGAGATGCATTTTCGTGCATTGTCTTCCCAAAAGATCTTTCTTAACTAAACACTGTAGGTAGCCATGCCCCTCGTAACATTTGCAACATTTTCTACAATCTGATGAACAGAAAAATTCTACTTCTGATTCAAATCAGAGAAAACAAAAATTACAAAAGCGGAACTGCGCCCTAATGCATTCTAAAACTAAAGGAAAAATAAGACCATGAAAGCCTTATGATAAATCTAGAAATAAAATAATAAGTCAATTAACAATCATATATGACGGCTGTAAGAGTTTGTTTAGTGAATTACGCACAAAATAACAATGTGTTTCTGGAATGAGTAGAAAGAAAAACTGACGAGACTTTGGGACAGTAGAGACTCTGATGAGAATGTGTGTTAATCTTTGATAGAAAATAAGATAAAATAGAGTCTTCCACTTTCTCACATCTAGGAAGTGAAAGTGGTATGTATGTAGAAATTTGAAGTGGTATTGAGATGTGCGAATCATAATTTTGAAAGCCAGAATCAAATGAGATCATCTTGCCAATTGCTCAACATTTATAAATAGAGGTCAAATTCAATCCCAACTTCAAATATACAGTGAATCAAAACATATTAGAGACTTTAGAATGAATTTTTTAAAGGGTAGAGGGAGGCATACTAACATATCTTGCCAAATTTGAAGAAAACTTCCACAAACAGTAGGATGCGCTTCACATTCAGCTTGACAGTTTATTTGAAAAATTTATTTATATTGTTTGGTTCAACACAAGTGATTCACACATCTCCTAAAAATATTAGAACAGTTCCAGTCCAGTACAGGACTGAATGTTTCTCAGACGTTTTCTACAATGTTAGTATTGTTGGTGCGTATTATGTTCTAAATTGACTGGATTACAATTGTACAACTGGATTTTGTAAGGTAAACTATAGGTTTTCATATGTAATGCGGGTTCATGCTTGTATCAAGCTTTACGGAAGTCGATGAATCAAGTGTTAAAAAATTGCTCAAGACTTGATGAATAAGGGCAAACCATCCTCTGTCAAAAGGATTATGGCGAACCCTTTGATTTCATTTAATTTTGTGTTGAGCTTCATGTGACCAGACCAGCAATGCTCTGTGACATTCTGACTGTTACGAATTTTTAGCCAGAATTACACAGAGTAAACCTGCCATGCTTTTGATTTATTTCCTAACATCAAGTCATAGTCATATAATTTGACTTTGTCATGAAGGAAATATAGTGTGACATATTTTTAGTACTTAAGTTAACTGATGACATTTAATCAGTTACAAAAGCAGACAATCAACATGCTGGCTAGACAACATCAAGTTACTGTATTTTCTTTACGCTAAGCATCTTATTTATTCAACACGGAAGGTTCTAAAGTAGAGATTATAGGTATGACTTTAAGTCTGCTTGATAAAACATGTCCTCCTTGATGACAATAATGAATTTTGACAATAAATTTTTCATATGAGAAAATTTTTTCTTGGTGTTTATTTCAATAACATGTAATACCTCTTCTGTTCCTCCCCTTCAACCCTTCAACTATTTCGACAGTAGGAAGTTAAAGAAATGCTGTGAGCAGTGACCGACCAGTGACCAGCAATTCGGCGGTACTGTACAATTAAATGTGACATTTGAACACTTAACGGTGGATGCCAAAATATTTAGACAGCAAAAAGTCTGTGACAGCCATAGCATTCACAAAAAAGTGTGCGACTTGTAGTGAAAGGTGCATACTTGTCTGACACAGAAGAGTGTGTGACACAACTGGCATGCACACTGTCATTATTTTGGCACACGCACATTAAAATATTTGAATGTCAAACACTTCTATTCGAAGATTGAAATGTACTTATACACTTGTGTATCAGCTTAAAATAACTAACATACTTAAGTACTGCTAACAAGGCAAAACTCACCAAAAGCAGGAGCGGAGTTGTAGGTCTCGCAATCAACAAGGAAAGGTCCAGCCTGAGCCGCTCCCATTGCATGTACTCGCTTAGTAAGGAACTCGATTACTTGTGGTCCCGTCCGATTTTCTGTCATTGGGTAGTGTTGGACTCTGCAAATAAATGGATGATTAGAGATAGATCTCCAGAAATGTCATAGGAGTAATGAAGCATTGGATGAACAAAACTCAAACTTCCATCAAAAGATAACGATGAGAGGAAAAAAGGAATTAAAAACATGCACGACATTTGAATCATAGCTTTCCTATACTTCAATGTATTTATAAAAAGAGGCCCCGAGTGTAAAATATTGTAAGGGTTATGTTGACACCGGCATTTGAAGTACAAATAAGATAGTAACTGACTAGGTTGGAGAAATTAAATACAACTTACATTGTAACTCCCATGGTCGCAAGTACACAAAATTTTCACCAATGTCAAACGATTATCGTGTAAAATCACACTTTCATACGACCGGTTGTCAGACGAATATACAAAAACATAAAAACATAAACAACACAAGGGGCTGTCTGAAAACACACTTTTCACATTAACATAGCAGAAACGACATCACCGTATTCTCACTTATGAGAAGGCGGAGGACCGTCTGTCCTTCATTTTGTGAGGTTAGGTTATGTTCATCATCATGTAAATAAACACTGCAGCATTACAGCTGTTCGGCGAGAAATTTGATTAACTCGTGGTAAGAAGAGCGTTTACACGTTGTCGAGGGTGAACCTTAAAACGTGACTTTCTTTCTTCAAAGCTTGAATTTATCTTTACTTTCAGTCTGCCTCCAGAAAGAAAAGTGTAGCTCAATATGGAGAAGCTGCACCTGTCGTTGTTACTTGGACGTCCAAGGTTGATGTGTCTCACACTATGCTTAATATTGGCATTACAAGAGAGCAGAGCAGATGAAGGTACTACCTCATTATTTAAAAAATATAGTGGTGGATATTTTGCTGAAGGAGGTGGGCTTTTGCCCAACTTGGGATCAGTAACTAAACGTAAAGTTACTGCCAGGAAAAAAGCACCAGAGTCTTTATCAGCCGAGAATGCCACTGAAAGTGAACCATTAGGAAACATGAAGATACCAGAAATTAAAATTGCAAATCTGACTGTAAATCCTGCTCCAATAGGTAAATAATAATAGTCATTTGTTGAAGCATTATTTCAGTGTAGTCACCAAACTGATCTCTGTGATTTTCAATTTTCAGGAACAAATATTTCACATCCACCAGAGGTGAAGGGTCTAGATGTTGATCTTCCAAGTAATTTGACCCATACTGATCCATCAACAACAGCTTCTGTTAAGAGTCTTATTGCTGCAGTTAATGTATCAGGTTCTGTAGGTAATATATCATCAACATTGCCACCCAAAAAGAAGGGGAAACCAGGGGTAACATATGATGAAGATGATTTGCCAAGGGATGCAGATGGCAAAGTGGTTTTACCCAAAGATAATCTCATTGGTTCGGGTCCATCCTTTGATTATGTTGTGCCAATAGTCATAGCAATGTTAGCTGTACCATTTGTTGCTGTTGTAGGCGCATTTCTTTACAAGAAAGGTCGTGATTTCTGGGACAGACGGCATTATCGAAGGATGGATTTTTTAATTGACGGGATGTACAATGACTGACAAATTTGACACTGCTGTGATAAGTGACAAGCTTCTTTTATTCTTGGTTTTACTTGATAAACCCTCAAAAGTTCAAAAGGATTTTAAAAGTTTTCTTTTATTTCAATTTTAATACCAACTGTAGGGATTGGCAAATGGAATGTTTATTTTCAAGTAATCTGTGCTATGGGTTGCAGGAGGAAGGTCACAAGGTCATGCCCCCCCCCCTCCCCCCCAAAGGTCCCCAAAGGACCCCAAAGGACCCCTCAAAGGTATATTTTGTAGCTACTTAATGAGTAAGGCGCCCGATAAGTAAGCAATTTGCTGTCCAATTCTCCTGTAACTAAGCACGAAATGACCTCCTCAGAAGTGTAATCCAGGGTATGCTGCTGACAGGTTGATGAATTTACGTACAAAATACCCTCATTAACAAGTAACCCATAATGCGATTTATGAAACACTTTGTCTTACTGTACTCTTTATACTCTCTTTAACATTTGTCCTATGTTAGGAAAAACAAAATTATTCTTTTAAAATGAATTATGACTGAAAACTGTATACCTTAACTCTGTATAAATCTTATTAGAACTGAAAATTCAGTACTGTTACCACATAATTATCACCGTTTGAATGATCAAATGCCGTCATCAAATATTGTGTTGAGATTTGATACTAGGGTAGACGTAAACATTAACTTTGATGAAGAAAAATCTCTTCCTATCTGTGATCATTTAATATTAGGTTGCTTGTGTTTTTTGTTTTTTTCTCTATCAATTGCGTAATTAGTGATTTATACCAATCCAAGATGCTCCGTGATTGTTCCCTCTCAAAGATTGTGACATCTGTGAGATCTGCCCAATTAGATATATTTGTGATACTTGGTTTTGGCTCGAGCCAGTTCTACATTGTGTGTATGAGAAGAATGTGATAAGGCAAATGAAAAAGGTAAACAATTATTACATTTATTTTGTCATTGTATACTGTACATAATGGTATAAATTCTGTCTTGCTTGAACTGTAATTAAGTATATGTGAAACAAGTACTAAATGAAAATACAGTACAATTATGTAAGAATGTTTTTCTTCAATTTTGATCATGTAGTTCCCAGAAGTGCTACATTAAATGTAAAAATGTAGAATACTTAAATTACTTCAGCCATTAACATTCATTCCATTCAAAGGACCAGCAGCACAGTTAAAGTGCAGCATTTACTTTTCACTGTGTGTGTAATTTTATTTGTAATGCTGAGGAAATTATGCGCAAAATTCATTTATCCTATCTTGCTGTGGAAAAGTTTGCAATCAACGCAAAGATACCTTCCTGATTCCAATTTTTTTGTTTGGACTGTAGCATATAGGGTGTGTGAGAAGCATACCATTTATTGAACTCCGTTTTCCGGGCACTAGATCTAAAGTCATAGGGTGAGGGTAGAAAATGTGAATGTGCAATGCTTCAATTAGAACTATTAAGATGACATAATAAATAATGCTAATATCAAAATTTTGTATCTTTAAAATATTCAGTAAGACACTATTTGAGTGAGATATCATAGATTAAAGCAATAATACATGCTTAAAAAGTGCCATCCATAAATCACAGACTGAGGAATCACAATTCAGGTAAATAAAGGTTTGTTTAAAAAAAAGAAAAAAAAAAGAAAGAAGAGATAGATCAATGAAAAACAGAATTGACATTTAGCAACAGAAAAAATCAATTAAAACAAAACAGATTTAAATGTAACTCTGCAGCCAATATACCACAAATCTTATGTCATACTTGTACCATCCTTAACAAAATGATAAACACTCAGAAATTTTAGGCAACTTCTACTATTATTCTTTCTCATTCAACCATGCAAGCTGGCATACTTGCCTTGCATATTTGTTTCAGTCATATGAGTCATCTGAGACAGACAAGAAAATAGTACTTGAGAGTCTAATTCAAATAACAAGTGAAGCTTTTATCTGTCTTATCTCATGTCATTATATCACATGTTTCACATGCAAGGCAAGAGTCCACTAAAAACTCTTTTCATAATGTGCATTCCATTACATCACAGCCTAATTTACTTACTTGACTGCAGAGGTACTAGAGCTACAAAACAACATTTAAAATCCAGATTGACATGGCACCTACAGATGTTTAACAAAGCCAAAAGCATTTACGATATTCAATGCACACCCAAGTACAAATTCTAAGTACAGTGTGAGCTACAAAGCAAATATAACAATAACATTTCAGAAAATTTGGAGTTATACAGAACTGAAAACTACTTTAAAATATGATGATAGCTACACTTAGAGATCTACAGCTATGAGATAATATCAGGGAAGCAACTAGAGGTAACTAGGTATGTTTTGTCATGAACAATGAATCTTATCTCATATCAGAGTGAAAACGGAAGTATGTTTGTGTCTCCGACAAACTACATAGAGCAATAAAAATAAGCCAGAACTTTGCTGAAGAGATACTTCTGTTTAATTATAAAGATTGAAAAATATGGAAGTTATAAATTTGTTATTATTCATTTAAGCTTGGAAATACTGCATACCAATGATCAACGATCATTGACTGACCTCACATATATGAAAATACACACAAAACTTTTTGAGCGCAGCTGCTCAAAAGCTCTGGGATTAATATTGAATAACATGGAATTTTTATTTGTGGACTGTAGTTGCCCAGAAATAGAAGAATGTCATGTGACATCCTTTGACATCATTTTTGACAGTCAAAATTACTAAATTTGTCAAAATTTGACAAAAATGCCAAAATTTAAGTGACTGAGAGAATTGGTGCCAAAGGATATCACATGACATTTTCTACCCTCTGTGTGGGCAAACTAGATTTAATGTGTAGGCTCAGTTTGATAGTTAACAGGGTTTACTTGAAAAGACCATTTGTTAGATGATCAGGTTGCTACGCTCAATTTGAAAGAACACATGTGAACTATTTTAGAAAAATAGTATTTTTGTAAGTGGGAGAAGAATATTGGAAGATTAAAAATAGAAGGGTTATGGCAACAAATTTAACAGTCACATTATTAATGTGCCAGAAGGGACAATAGCTAATTAGCTAATTGATTGTAACTACCGAGGTTCAGCTAGAGTTGATCTACAACACACATTTGACTAAATGCTTCTATGTATAATTTGAACAGAGATGATAAAGGCTTAATCTCAAAAGCTCCAGAAGAGATCGGATTCATCTAAATCTGGGTTCGTCAGATATGTCTTGATAACAAATTGAACTAACACAAATAAGTGTGCTGTAAAAACAAAGTGAACAAGCAGGGACTATATATAAATTTAGTTATCAATCATTGTCCAAAATGAATAAGAAAACCAGAAATGAAGACTTTGAATTCAATGAGTATTGTTACCGATTGTTACAGAATGTGTATAAGCAAAACAGCATTAAACGCACTCATAACTTGAACCCTTAAACTTAATGAATTTAAGCATTTAAAATAAAATAATAACAATGATAAGATATTTAGAAAAAAATTACTAAGAACATTAAAAGTATACCATAAGGTGGTGAAGGTAAGTATGATAATCTATCTGAAGGGCATATATACTTTTACAAATCAACACTAAGGAATTTTTTGGACTATATGCAATAGATCTTAACATGATTGCTTTCATTTCACATTAATCCATCTCTGATTCCACAAAACTCATTTACCTTTCCCTTTCGTTTCATCGGGAAATATTTCTCTGGCAGGAATTAGACTCAGCATCATAATGTGCCGGTTGTAGCACCTTGAATTTCTAAACAGAGAATCTGTTCCGTGAAACCGATCAAGAACTCCTAAAACACCAAAGCACTGATTAAACCTGAAAGAGAAATTTAAGATATGTACTTTGTTATGAAAATCTTTTTGTTTCAAAATAAAGTAGTGAAGAAATGATATTGTCATACTTCAAATGATGAAAGTCATGAGCCTCTGGGGAAGGGAAAAATGGCAAATGGTAGCCAGAATGGGCATTCAATGTTGAAAGAATGGCCATAGAAAACCATAGCCATGCTGTTGCGACATGAGAGCCCATTAGGAACACTCCAAGCATTGGTGGGAGTAGGTTACTAAATATATGCTCCAGGGGGTGACAGTAGATGGCTGTTACAGCAACTGGAGCAGTCCACTCATGATGTCGTTTGTGGATATGTTTGTATAAATAGCGACTGTGCAGGAGCCTGTAACATATAGAAAATAATGAAGAAATTGAAAGTTACCAATGACTCAAGCAGAAATTTAATTGTAGAACATACCTGTGTGAATAATAAAATCCTACTTCTTCCATTAAGATGTGGACAGCCATCTCTGCAAGAACCCAGTGGAATGTGGGTAATTCCCTAAGAGATGGATATCCCCTACATTCCATCAACATATAGCACAAGTAGCTCACAGGGAGACCCACAATGATTTGGTTGAATAAAACACAACCAATGACCTATACGTGTGAATGATAATTAAATTGAGTCAGTAAAAAGATGAGAAAGGCATTACAAATTCAGTATCTTTGCTTACTTTTAGTAAACGCTGTCTATCGACAGGCTCATTAGTACCAGGTTGTATTTTGTATCGGCGGAGTGCACTTGGTTTGTTTGTGACATCCAGAATTGTGTAAATAGCTCCAAAAATCCAGTACACTGCTATGGTTACAACATGGCTCCCTGAAAAATTTCAAAGGAAAAATATGTCATTCATTTCAAAAAGTTGATGGTTTCAATTACTTTTCAATATACTTTAGAAATGGTCTCAACTCACCATACACCCAGAGCGTGATTGGATCCTCTCCAATTGAATCTAGCAAAAGATCCCATATTGCTTGCCAAAAGTCTCCTGATGCTCCCCAAAAACGTTGCAAATGCCTGGTAAAAATGGGAAGGAATAAATAACACGAGAACAAAACCACAAGCTTTAAACAAGGTTGTTTTTATTTTAATAAAGATTTTCTTTCTGTTT